AGACGTTTATTAAAGTATGTAAAACATTGGCTACTCTGGAGGGTGGGCAAGGGTGGATACCGTGGAGGAGGTGTCTGGGTGACAGCGGTGGCACCCCTGGAAATGGAGAGGCCTGGGCAGATGGGTGAGGCATTTAGGAGATGGGGCTGGTGATAGCTGTGTGAGGTAAAGAGGAGGAAATCGGAGTTGACAGCTCTTTGTTGTATGTATTGAAATGTTTTTCCCAGTTTGTCTCTCTTTTTTGGGGGGGGCAGGGAGGAGGGAGTCTTTGGCATCTCTTTGGTATGTGGAAGTTCTTGCATAGTAAAATTTGTCCATCTGTTCTTTAATGGCTTCTGGGTTTCATATTTCAGGATTTCTCCACCTTGAAATTATAAAAATGGCCCTCCCCCGTTTTCTCTTAGTATTTATGGTTTTGGTTTTCCATATTTATATTTTTGGCCTCTGGACTTTATGTGCAGAGAAATGATCTAGGGACTCATCTTATGTTTCAGAAGGGTATGCTGAAGAGGATGGTGCCTTCTGTGGGACTGTTGCAAGGAGTTAGGCCATTTGCAGAATTATGGGCAAAACAGGTTTAGATTAGGGAGGTACTTTGTTATCACTTCTTAAGTTTGTAACTGGGGGCCGAGGGTGCAAGAGCACCTGGCTCTGGGGTTCCAGAATGGACTAGGTTTGACCACTCGCCACTGACAAAATCCAAAGACAGAGAAATGAGTGGTGGTGAAACAAGAAAGGGGCTTTTTTGAGTGAGGCCAACCCTGGGAAGACAGCCGAATAACTCTCAAGGACGGTCCCCAAAGTGCTGAAAATACTTCTAGGTTCATATAAGGAAAATGTGGGTCAAAGATTGATGGGTACCTGCAGGTGGGCAGTAAAGGTCAGGTCGATCATTGTCTTGGGGTCAATCACAAGGGCTCTTGCTGGCCTTAGGGCAGTCCCTGTTACTCCTTTGCCCTCTGGGTCTTTTGCCTGAGATAAGAGATCAGCTGGAAAGAAGAACTTGATCAATTAGAAAGTACACACGGAGGTGAGAATGGGGGTAGTTGGCATCCTCTTTCAGGTTTGACAGATCAGTGTTATATTACAATGTGTGTTTTTTCCAACACCACGAAGTCATCAACTCCCAATTTTAACACTATCTACCTGGAGTTAGCATCAGATCCGACAGGTTAAGGACTTTGCCCTACAAGACTGCATCCCCTGCCCTGCACCGCCCCCCCAATTCTAGGCACCAGTCACAAGTCCAGGTTGTCACCTGTGTCTCTGACCAACCAGCTATAGATCAGAGGTACCAGCAACCTCCTCCTTGGATTTGATTAATTGCTAAAGTGGCTCACAGCCCTCAGAGAAACATTTCACTTACTAGATTATCGGTTTATTATAAAAGAGTATAAAAGAATATAACTTAGAAACAACCAGATGGAAGAGATGCATAGGGTGAGTTATGTAGGAAGGGTGACCACTCTCTGCACATCCCTCTGAGCCCCATCCTTTTGGGGTTTTATGGAGGCTGTAGTACATAGGTATACTTCATTAAATCATTGGCCATTGGTGATGTAACTCAATCTCTAGTCCCTCTCCCCTCTCTGGAGGTAGGGTGGGGAGGAGTGGGGCTGTAATTTCCAACCCTCTGATCCAACTGTCGGTTCTCCTGGCAGTCCAGCCCTGATCCTTAGGTGACCTGGGGAGTTTTCCGAAGGTCACCTCATTAACATAACAAAAGACCTCTTGATCTCTGATCCCTTAGGAGGTTAGAACGATTTTCTTTCTTCTTTTACGAGATAACTGTAGCCTAAGGGGTGGAGAACGAATCAGGAAAAGTAGCAGAGAGATGGGTTTTAGGAGCCCAGACTTTGTCTTCAATCTTTCTCTTGCTCTTTACTGAATTGTTTTGTTACTTTATGTTTCTCCCCTTCTGATCCTGAGCATCTGAGTTCTGCTGGAAAGAACATTTAGTCACGCTGTCTGATTTTTAAATTCACTTTATCTTTATTGTTTTTTCAAATTACAAAGGGAATAGGCCCTCAGTGGAAAAACAATTTAAATAGTCTAGCAGTATATAAAGTAAAAAAGAGATGCCCTCTTCTGATAGCTCCCTTTATTTCTTTTTCCAGGAAAAAACCACCGTTGTGCATCCTTCAAAAGACTTTATTTTTTCTTTATAAACACCACTCCCTTGGTAAAGGGAGATCATGACCCAAGCCTGCTTACGCAGGATGCTATGAGGCTGACTAGCACCATGTAACCCCAAGGAGAATAATTCTGTTGTTGGGTTGTGTTAAAATGTACAAAAATGTTTTTAGTTGAACAAATTGTTTTTTTAAATTGTTTATTTTCGTCTAAATTTTTGTATACTGGCATAGAGTTCTTCATAATAATACTTTTTTTTTCCTTCTTAGGGATTTTCTATCTTATTAAGGAGTTGGAGTAGGGAAATGATAAATTGAAATTCATCGTGTTTAATTTTGTGGGTGGAAGTTCCTGGGGAGGAGTTGAGGATAAGGATTTTCTGATTTTAGAAGAGGAGAGCAGATGTGTGTTGAACTCTGGGAAGCCCTCCGTGGTCTGGCTCACAGGCCTTTTGGCCTCGTTCCTCAGCCTTTCTGACCCTACAAGAATGTCTTCAAGTTCTTCCCTTCTGCCCCAGTAGCATCGGAGTTTCAGTTTGTCCACAGATGGCTTGATTGGTTGTTTTCTCTTTTCTTTTTGCTGACTCTTTGCTCGCTCTTGGAGCTACTCATGCTCCAGAGCTTCGCTTAAAAGATGGGCACTTTTGTAATGGAGGCCTTTAAAGAGGGAGGTGTTCCAGAGAGTATGATCGAACATTTGAAGGTTTGTACTGCTTTAAAGGTGGGCAAGAGAAGAGTTGCATGGGAAATCAAGGATGTTAAAACATTTCTTTCCATGTCTTTGTGTGGAATAAACAGTTTAGCCTTCCCTAAGGAATTTCTAGTTGTCTTTTCTCTTCAGTAGTTAGGCTGTGGTGCCATTATAGGATTAAGCAATACTGATTTGAGATGATACTTTTGTACTACGTACTTGGGGAGAAGAAAACTGTGGTTTAATGATATCTCAGTATTTTTAGGGATGATAGAGCATTTTGGTCTGGATTTGATCAGGTTAGATGGCCAAACCTAAGACTGATTCACCATAGAGATGATTTAGCTAAATTAGAAATATATTTTTGTTTTTCTTTCTGATAAAAGGAAGTAAGTATTTCTTACAGACTTGCTTTTCTAGCCTGCTGGGAGCTGATGGTTCTCCACTTCCTTCCTGCTCATGGCAGTGCTGCTGTTAGGGAAACCAACTGTGTTTTAGGCTTTCGGCTTGGCTTTTCATGCCCAAGGCATGTGTGGTCCTGCTTGGGCCAGACTGTGGTTCCTGGTTCCCCCGCAGAGAACAGATATTCTTCTGAACTTCCAAATGCCTCCATGGGGGGGTGGGGGGTTGGGGGAGGGCTCAAAGAACTGGGCACAGTGTGTTTTAATTTTTTGTCTAGTCCTCTGGAGTAATTAAGTGAAGTAAATCATCCCAAGTCACTGAGTTTCTTGCAGAACATAATTCGGGTCTTGACTTGTGGCATCCAGACCCGTGGCGAACACCGTGGACCCACTTTGTGGCAGCCCCTTGTACTGCTCCTCATTGCACAGAAGTGCTCCAGACTAGAAGTGCTGAGATGCCAGTTTTTATTTCTAATCTGTGTGACCTGATACTTTATTTATAAAATCCAGTAAAAACAAATTGTTGTAAAAATGAAGTTTAAAAAGGACCTACAAACAGATGTCCAAAGTTTTTATTATTAGGTTTAGCAGACATAAAATTATTTTGTTAAATTGCTTTAAACCTTTTAAAATTTTTTTTTTTTTTTTTTTTAAGATTTTATTTATTTATTTGACAGAGAGAGCGAGAGAGCAAGAGCAGGAACACAAGCAGGGGGAGTGGGGGAGGGAGAAGCAGGCTTCCCGCCAAGCAGGGAGCCCGATGCGGGGCTCGATCCCAGGACCCTGGGATCATGACCTGAGCCGAAGGCAGACGCTTAACGACTGAGTCACCCAGGCGCCCAGCCCAGCCTTTTAAAATTTCTTACGTTTAGTTTCTGTAATTATCTCGTGGGCTAGTACCAAATAATTCATTGAGTGGCACTGGTTCTCGAACCACACCCCGGGGGATACTGCCTTACCTCTCCTCTTATCCTCTGATAGAACTCATTCTTGAATTTAGATATTAGTGAAGCCAAGTGTTTTTGGGAAGGGCTGTATCTTGAATCACATTTGAACACTGTCTCCAGTTAGGCTATAGGAAGCACAATTTAAAATTTAATTAACATTGTAAAAACGGTTATTGAAGAATCAAGAAGCCAGTCTTTGAATTATGCAAGCAACAAATCTGGAGCTATATGACTCAGAGACTTAGTAAAATTTCTGAAATCAGTTCCTTAAAAATCAGTCTGTTACTAAGATATGTGAGGAAGTAAATGTCTTTCCTCTGCCAACAAATCCCAGATAATGTGATTGCCTGCAAATAAACATAAGAATCAGAAAAACAAAAAACTAACCATCCTGGGTCATGTATTCCAGAAATCAGATTGTGCATTTAGCGTTCTTAGATAGGATTATCAAGTCATTGCTCAAATCATAAACTTTTCAAAGTAGAAAGGCTTCTCTGAGGACCAGGGAATCCTTCCCGCCACCCCACCCCCCCCCCCCCGCCCCGCAAATTTACCATAGCTATGACCAAACAGTGAGTCTTTCTTTCGTTCTTTCCATAAACAGAGTTGAACGTAATGACTATATTAGTGTCATCAAAACTTGGCTTGGTTTTGAAGTTGGGATGCTTAAATTACTGTGTTGGGGATTTTAAATTTCACTTACTAATAGATTTTGTAATTTAATTTTACTTGTTTAACAGTGAACAAGTGTAGTATTTTTATTAACTCATTGTTTTTTGAATTTGAGCTTCATTCTTTCTCTAAATTGTATTTAATGTTTACTTTTCAGGAATTACCCAACTCTGTCTTTCTGGTGATGGAGGTAGGTAGTATATGTGCTGTTTAACTTACTTCAAATTCCTTTTGAAGGAATTAGTATGTACTAATTTGTACTAATACTAATGTACTAATTTGATTAGTATTACTTTAAAGTGGACAGTAGATTATTATTTGAAATTTTGAATTAATAAAGTCCATTTAGTGACTTAGATTCTACTTTATAAGTAATATATAATTTAAAAATTTGATACCATAATTCTTATGTTTTTCAGACTAGATTTACATTATGTAGAAACTCTTTAATTAAAATTAACTGATCGTGAATTGAATTAATCTTGAATCCGTTTCCTTATTTTAATTATTTTTTCTTTCATGTATCAGTACTGCAATGGTGGAGACCTGGCAGATTATTTGCAAGGTAATTTTTGTTTGTCTGTCAGTGTTCAATAAAGATAGTACTGTAGTCTGTTTAATCCTGAGAGTTACTTCTGAAATAATGCTGACCCTGTTTTCTGCACTTGTATAGAAACATTCAATAAATATTTGTGTATTTGTTTGTGATCGCTTTGCTGACCAACTGTTGTTTGTTGTGGTTTTATTCCTAAACTTGTGTATAAGTGCTTCCTTCATGTGTCCCTCTTTCTGGCAGTGTTTGAGAGATGGGTCTTCTCCCCAAGAGAGAAAAAAACCATATGGTTCTCTTCTTCAAAAGACTCTCTGGGTTACCAGCAGTGAACCTTTAGTCCCTTTCATTTCTTTCAAAATAAAAAAATCGCAATGCAAAAATATATCTAAGAATGTGTTTATTAAATGAACCTTTCTTGTAAATTAAAAAGTTACAGAGGATTAAATAAAAGTAACATTGAAATTATTTCCTGGCAGAGGTGAGATTTTAGTACTAGATGGTGCTTGAAATCCTGTATCCAAAATGTATGTACACAGGTTGGATATAAGACATTCAGATCAAATTGTGTCTCCCACAAGAATTTTTTAAAATGCTGTTATGAGGCCAGCACCTCCTTGTTCATCCCTTAAAATGCAAGGGAAATATGCAAAAAATATCTCAACCTCTAAATAGATCATGGCCGTTGAGGGTGACCCCAACACATCAATAGGTACACTTATGAAGGGTGTGGACAGTTTACGAGAACATATTGAAAATGTTCAGTTACACCTAGTAATCAGGGAGTGCAATTGAAAGTGAGCTTTTAAAAATCTTTCAAGTACAAAATACTGCTGACTTTCAAAAGCTGCGCAGAAATTAATAGGAAGAACACTGGGAGTGTTGCCCTCAGCCCTCGCCTGCAGTGGGTGAAGTGGCCCCAGGGCGCAAAGCTCCTTCCCTTCCGTGGCCACGGGCCTGGGCACACAGGGGACAGCGGTGACCCCAGGACGGCGACCCCACGGATGCCACATGGTCCGCCACCAGCAGAGCTCCTGCGGTCCATGTACATCGGCTGGCCAGCCAGGCACTGGAACTGCCACCGCGGAGAAGGAGCAGAGCGGGAGTCCGGTTCATCCTGAGGGGGGAGATTCAGGCCCGAGGGGAGCCGAGACCCTGCCTGATCCCACGTGTCCCTGCCCTGAGTGGACCAATTCTCCTCGGCTCCTGCTTCCTCAGGGGCGTCCCACCTGCCCTGCCCACCGTGGGCCCCTCCTGAACCAGCACACCTTAGGGGAGGCACCGGACAGAGACAGGATTTGGAAGCTTGGTTTTTGGCTAGCTGATTGTTGGGGAAGGAGAGGAGGGAGTGAGGGAAGGAAGGAAGGGGAGGGAAGGAAGGAAGGAAGGAAACTTATTACGCCCCCCAGTTAAAGAAAAATTATAAATAGTTGAAGCTCCGTAGTCCCACTCCGGTCCTTACCCTTTAGAGACAACCTTTACCTTGAATTTGGGAGTTTATTGCATGTGTAGTTGTTTTTCCCAACCAAGTTCTTTTTTTTAATCCTAATTTAGTAAATCTTTTCTTTTTTCAAAATGTCATTTACTAGTAGATAGAATGCAGTGAGACAGGCACTTTCATTGACCACTGGTGGAAAGAAGTTCAAGCTAGAAAACACCCTGCTTCTGCCTTCTCAGTCAGCGAATCTCGAGTTCCTTGATGTTCTCAGTGATCCGGGTAAAAGCACCTTTTCCCCTGGGGTCAGATTGAGTGGCACCCTATCAGTTCAGTGCCCTCATTGGAATATCAGTTTCCCTCATTAACAGAAGTTGTCCTCACCGATGCAGGCACTGTTACTGGTGTCGCGGATTTAAGTCAGCTTTGGCAGCAGTTTCGTCCATTATGTTGAACTCTGTATTTGATATTCCAGAGCACTAGCGTTAGAACAGGAGACCCAAGAGTGAGGAGTTTACGAGCTTGAGTGTTGGAGTCAGACAGACTGGTTTTTACAACAGTGTCCCTCTTCGCATCACTTAATTGCTGTGGTTTTGGTCAAGTCCTTGAACCTCTCCCTGGCCCCTCTCTGCCACAGTCCTTAAAGGAATCCCTTGTAGTTTGAAAACACTTGTAAAGAAATATAAAAGAAATCTGGACCTCAAGGAATTTTCAAGAGTTAAATTGTTCAGTAAGGTGGCCACCAACCTCATGGGGCTACAGAGCTCTTGAAATGTGGGCCAGTCTGAAGATGTGCTGCAAATGTGAATATATTTGATTTTGAACACTTCAAGGAAGAAAAGGATTATATTTCATTAAGGCTTTTATGTTGATTACAAGTTGAAATCATTTTGGACATATTAGATTAAATATATATTATTTAAACCTGTTTCTTTTTTGTTTTTAAAATGTGGCTACTAGAAAATTTAAAGTTACGTATGTGGGTCACATTATATTTCTGTCGGAGAGCATTATATCACAACAGGATCATTTAGTCCTTTTATTTCCTTTGATAAGTAAAATGCCATTCACATTTTCAAAAGAAAACAAATTCTACTGATTGGCAAGTTTAAAACATCTTAAATTAATTAGCAAGTAGTACTTGAACATGGATTCTAGCAGAATTCGTTGCGTGTGGCAGCCGCGGCTGAGCCTACTCCCTCTGGGCTAACTTGCTCAAGAATTCATTTATTTGGAAGAGTTTTGATGTTGGCCATGCCTTTAAAATACTAAGTTTTTAATGTGGCAAATTCAGTTTATGGGATTGTGATGAGAAGTATGCATTCCATGTTCATAGAACTATGTGAATATTTACTACAGTTTGTGTCCCTACTCCCTCTGGGCTAACTTGCTCAAGAATTCATTTATTTGGAAGACTTTTGATGTTGGCCATCCCTTTAAAATACTAAGTTTTTAACATGACAGATTCAGGATATGGGGTTGTGATGAGAAGTATGCATTCCATGTTTATAAAATTATGTGAATACTTACTACAGTTTGTGTCAGAAACAGATTACACTAGATCATTCATTTCCTCCCACAAGAGGAGTGTTAGAATTTGGACTCAGAAGCAAATAAATTTTAAGTATATTCAATTGTCATGGGGCAAAAATTCAAGTTCTAAGCAGCTGCAGTCATTTAAAGTAGCCCTAGAATGAAAATGGAAATGAATGAAATGGAAAAGTGTCCATTCTAATTTTTGCAAAGTAACTTAAGTAAAACATTACAAAAATAAAGATCTAATCATTGGTTTGACCCACCCACTAAGATCTGGAAGAATACACTCCCTATTTTTAGCAGTGTTTATTTCCAAGGGATGGCATATGGAAGATATCACTTTTTATATGTTTTAGTGTATTTAGATTACTTTTTTGTTTTCAGTGAGCATCAAGAAAAGAGCCCCAAAGAATAAAAAAAGTAGAACAGAAAGAAGTATTTATAAAGCATGGGGATTTATCTTCTTTGAAGATGTTAAGGACATAAAATGTCATTATAACGTGTCTAAAATGATTTTAAAGCTAATACTTAATTTGTTCCAAGTGTAATATTACTTTTGTCTTCTTAATTGCATATTGAAAGGTTATATAGAACATATTCTAGAGTTGTGTGGGCAGAAGTATGTTCACAAAGGATTTAGTAGATAGGGTCATGGCTATTAAATCCCTAATGTAGTTCAGGAATCACACTTGTGGCTTTTAGATTCATTGTAATAAAAAGTTTATCTTTGTGTACTGACTGTATTTGAATAGTTATTCTGTGCCAGGCTTTTTCTAAAGTCTTTATTATTAAAGGCGCTATCTTGTTTGATTGTCACAACAGCCCCATGTGGTTAGTCTGTTTCCAGCTTTTTCTAGATGAGGAAGTAGGCACAGAGGGTTCATCTTCCAGGGTCACACAGTAAGGAGGCGGAGGAGCTGGGATTTGAAGAAAGGCAGCCTGACTCCAGATCAAGCTGTTGACATTACAATATGCCCCAGCAGACACACAGACACACTCTAGTGGTCAATTATGACTACCCTCCAATAATGTCCATACTGTCTCTTCATAGTAGTGAAAACAAGGGTTCCTTCTTAAAGGTGTCTAGCGATGAGAGTGGTGGGGCAGGAATGTTGCAGCAGGGAAGATGAGGGGAGAGCCATGTGGGAGCACAGACCCCTCATAGCTACAAGTGGTGGACAAAGGTCCCAGTCCCCATTCGTAGACCCCACCTGCTTTTAATTTGTGCTCATATAATGGCAAGGTTGAAATATGGACATATATCCCAGATATTTGGCTCATAACAAGGGGAATTTATATTTTGGCTTGTTGAGGGGACCTCACATCCGCTGAGTACCTGTTGTGCTCAGAGTCACGTGGGCACCTTCACCAGTAAAATACGGGAAAGGAAAAAGACCAGCGAAAATGAGAGATGCAAATGTAAGTCAGTTCTCTTTACAACAGATCCAGTGAAGCGTTTGAGGTGTCTGATATCTTTTCATAGACTTAAATTATTAGAGTAAAACGGAAAAAAAAAATGTGACTCCCAGTTCCTCACTCCCTCTATGTTCTTAACTCAATTCTGTTGATGGGAGACGCAGATGGTATTTGATTTTGTGTGCTTAAATATTTATGCGATTCCTTTTCTAACAGCTAAAGGAACTCTCAGTGAAGATACTATTAGAGTGTTTCTGCATCAGATTGCAGCTGCCATGCGGATTCTGCACAGCAAAGGAATAATCCACAGGGATCTCAAACCACAGAACATCTTGCTGTCATACGCGAATCGCAGAAAATCCAACGTCAGTGGTATTCGCATCAAAATAGGTAAATGGCCATGCAGTGTTTTATGGAAAGGACAGTCTTGAGATTCCATAGTTTTAAGAAAATTTTAGTTCAGCTTTGTTAGAATGATGGGTTTTGTTGGTGCGCTTTTGAAATGTTTATTGAGTTCAGCGAGGTGCATTTGGATATGGGAACCCTTTACATTACTGGCAGCCTATCCTAAATCTCAGGACTGAGGGGCCCATGCTAGGATCTCCAAACACGACCCCCAGCAGCAAACCCTATCCTGCTTCTCATACATAACATGATGTATTATCATCATAGCCGCAGTTGAATAACCCGGGTTCTTTACAGCCCATGGGATTTTAACACAAGGGATCTAAGAGACCATTTAGATCAGCCTTTCTTTTTCACAATTATTTGAAGCAGTTTGTAATGCTAGGTATTTTTAAAAGCTTTTCTTTAAAAATAAAAAAAAATTATTTCACCAGTATTTAAAGAAATTTCTGGAGGCGCCTGGGTGGCTCAGTCGGTTGGGCGTCTGCCTTTGGCTCAGGTCCTGATCCCAGGGTCCTGGGATCGAGCCCCATCTTGGGCTTCCTGCTCAGCGGGGAGCCTGCTTCTCCCTCTCCCTCAGCCCCCTCCCAGCTCATTCTCTCTCTCTCTAAAATAAATAAATAAAATCTTTAAAAAAATAAGTTTCTGATTTTCTGTATGTTACATCTGGATCTGGAGAAGGAAAAAAAAGGTTCACATTCTGTACCTGGCACTGATATTTAGTGAGAGCTATATTAATGAATCATTTATTGCAATTAGCATTTTCTCTCGCAAAGCTTGGTGCTCGCTCCCTGATTACAAAACTGACAGAACAGTGACTTGTACAGTCGGTGATCACTACCAGTTCTTATCCTGTCGAAACTGAGGTAGAAACTTTTTTCTTCAGCAGACAGACTTACTCAATAAGGTGCAAATTCCTCACAATTCCTTTGTGCCCTCTTGTGTCTTGAAGGTATGATCTATGTGAAGTGTGAGTAAAGGTATCCTTTGTTTTTCTCCTTTTTATTTTGTGAAATAGCGGATTTTGGGTTTGCTCGTTACCTGCATAGTAACATGATGGCTGCAACACTGTGTGGGTCCCCAATGTACATGGTGAGTGACTAGTTTTTGTCTTTGCCTGTGTATAGTACGGTGCCTTTATCACTGGAATTTAAGTATGATGCTAGTTTCCAATTAAGATGTGATTTTATGTATAGCCTAAATTGTTTTACTGACACTGATTATATTACTGATAGTGCTATAGTCCTCTTTTGCTTTAAAATAGTGGACTGTAGAAGTCAGTCACTTTTACCCATTAGTTAAAATTTTTTTTTTAAAGTAGGCTCCAGGGGTGCCTGGGTGGCTGGCTCAGTCGTTAAGCGTCTGCCTTCGGCTCAGGTCATGATCGAGCCCCGCATCGGGCTCCCTGCTCAGCGGGAAGCCTGCTTCTCCCTCTCCCACTCCCCCTGCTTGTGTTCCTTCTCTTTGCTGTGTCTCTCCCTGTCAAATAAATAAATAAAATCTTAAAAACAACAACAACAACAGTAGGCTCCACACCCAGTGTGGAGTCCTTTTAGTTTAAGTGTTTTTTTTTTTTTAATTAGTTATTAATGGTAGAAATTCCCTATTAGATTAAATTGAAAACACAAATTGATGAAGCGTGGTCATGCTATCCTTGATGTGTAACATTAGGGAAAACTTTATTTATTTTTTTAAAAAACTCTCTTGGGCATTTCTTCATCTCTAGGGTGAACATGCTCATCTTTTGCATGTTATTTCTCTTGACAAGATCCCTGGATCATAGGTTTTCACTTAGTGTTAGAGGTAAAGCTGAAAAATCTTAGTTCTCCCCCTCATCTTTCCATATGGATGTCGTCATGTCTGAAAAGGCAAAGGCTATGAAACTTCCCGAACCAATGTGAAGCATCAAGCCTGGAAATAGCTTAGTTCTGGAGCTTCAGAATTCTACAGAATAAATCCATGTACCTGTCTCAGTTCTAAGTTTAAAGTGGGCTTATATTCAGTAGGGATTTCCTCTGACCTAAATCAGTGAGAAGCTTACTAGGGATGACAACTAAAAACGGTATGCCTGGAAAATAAAGTTTACTGGCTTTGAGCGTGTTTGACATTTCTGTTTAATGTTTGTCCAGATTATTGGTATTTTTAAAAAGCAGCGTCTAGTGAGAAGAGGTGGGAAAAGAGCTGTAAGAAAGCAGAGAAAACAAACACCTTTGCTTTTAAGACAATCCTTAACTGTGTTTTCATCATAGTTTGTGTATTATTTTAAAAGCTTTCAAATGACAGGGAAAACAGAGGAATACAGCAAACACTTGTGTACCTATTTTCCATGTTTAACAAAGGTAACATTTTCCATGTGTGCCTTGATCTTTTTTCTTTCTAGAAAATAAAATATTTCAGCAAGGGTCCAAGTCCTGTAAACCTTTCCCTCTTTCCATTTCCCACTGTTCTACCCCAGAAGTAACCTCTGTCCCGTAGCTGGTGTGTATTTTTATTATAACCTTAATACCCTTACTGTATTGCTGTCCACAGTAATATATAGAAATGTTTGTTTCTATCAATTGCTTCTTTTCATGCAACGTTGTTTTTGAGATTTACCAGTAAATACCAGTGTGCGAATGTGGTTTAAGTTCACAGCAGGATCAATCTGATTAGGGAAATGTCACAGTGTGATCTCATTTTAGTAGTTTTGTTAGAAGCATGACCTTTACCAGTTAATTTATCAATATTAGTATGTAAATAACATCATGCATGTGTCTGGAATGTTTTTATCCCCAGGCTCCTGAAGTTATTATGTCTCAACATTATGATGCTAAGGCAGACCTGTGGAGCATAGGAACAGTGATATATCAATGCCTAGTTGGAAAACCACCTTTTCAGGTAGCCTGAATCTTTACTTCTGTGCTTGGTTTTGGGATCTTCTCATTTCACAGTTGCCTTTGACTTAGAAAACGGGGAATACTTTGAAAGCAGTGTTTTTGGTTCCCTTGTGATTTGTTTTGATTTTGTGAGCCAGAACAGCTTTTGCTTTTCCTTTTTTTTAATCTGCCTTCCCTTTGTAGTTGGCCTGGGCATAAAGCCCGTTATATGTTTGCCAGGCTAGTGACAACTAGCCGGGGTCAGGACTGACACTCTGGTGGGAAATGGTGTGAACAGTGATGTTCAGCGCTTCCTGCTTAGCTTGGTTTGGGGGGCCCTGCACTCCACGTGCGGGCTAGGCCTGGGCTGGGAAGATCACCGGAAACCATCTCCAGCTTCCTATTCCTGTCGCTGCTGGGTGAGAGAGGGTTGATAGTTTAGTTTTTATGCACATTATTTTGGGTTACTCTTCCCTCTCCTCGGCTCCCCTCACATCCGATCAGAAAGAGACCCTCTAGAACGAATCATGGTGATTCCTCCTGAGTTCGTACAGCCCAGGTACAGAGAGGTTTTTTGAACCTGAAAACTGGAACAAAGTCAACTTATCTCTGTAAAAAAGTATATAAAATCAGTGCCCCAGCCATTTTAGATACTTAATATCTCAGTCCAGTTGGTTAGAGTGGCGGCCGAGAGGCGGCTTCACTGCTCCAGCAGCTCTTACCGTCCAGGCGCCACCTGGTGCTGGGTGCCCGGGGAGGGACTGAAAGGTAGGCTCGCGCTTCGTTCTCTTCCTTGCACCCTTGACAGTCCTAAGGGAAAATACACCCTGATTTTACCCAATAAAAATGTACTTGTTGGGTGGGCTGGGTGACCTCCAGAGGAGTGGTTCTTAACTCTTCCTAAGTTTCAGGCTCCTCTGGGAGGCTGACCTCAGCAAAGAGACCTTAAGCCCAGATACGTAGAGTTCACACACAGTTCCAGAGGTATTTAAGTTCCTGGTGCCCATCTGTGTCTCCTTCCACAACCCAGGACTTTCTGGTTCAGAATGTCTGCTCTGTAGCAACCCTGTGAGCATGGATCACATGATTTGAACTTTCTTCCCCATTGTCTAGGGAATAAAACCTTTTTTTTTTTCTTTTTTTTAAATAGGCCAATAGTCCTCAAGACCTAAGGATGTTTTATGAAAAAAACAGGAGCTTAATGCCTAGGTAGGTGTTTGATTAAACTGGGTTTTATTGTCTGTAAATGCAACATTATGTGAACTGTGTTACCGATTTCCATTCTTGAATCTTTATTCAGTTGACATTAATGTGAGAACATTCATTATAACAAAATCAGAAAATTACTGGTGCATCATAGGTGCCTGGGTAGTGCTGTACCTTTTTTTTTTTTTCTTTTTTTAAATGTAAAGTGTATTTAAAAGGAAAAAAAAACTACAGAAGTTTTACATGTTCTTTGAGGGGAGGGAGATGCAAACAGAACAGATGTGCGTGAACTAGGAGGTCAGTTCCTCCCTTGGCCTTCCCTGCTCTCTAGGATAACACAAACTGACTCTGTACCTTATGTAGATATTTACATATTTATGCACACATATTTCAATACAAATTACATCGTACTTGACAAAGTTCTGCAACCTTTTTTTACTGTACAATCTACCTTAGACATCATTTTAGCGACAGGATATAGCAAACTACCTCATTCTTTTAAGTGGCTCATAGAGTTCCATGGCTGGATGTGTCATATTTTGTTTAATCAGATCCTTGTTTTCATTTTTTGGTTACTCCAAACAGTGTTTAATGAAGTGTGTGTGTGTGTGTGTGTGTGTACACTTCTGTGTATTTCTTCAGGATAGACTCCTACAAATGGAATTGTTAGACCAAAAGGGTTGCTCTCCAAATTAGCTAATGCAGCAGTACAACAGAGTGCTTGTCTCCCCACATTTTTACCAACACAGGAGGTTATCACACCAGGTGCTCACAAACAGAAGAGGACCAATTAGCTCTTTAATTTGCATTATTCTCTTTACTAGTAAAGTTGGCACTCTTTCGTTTGTTTATGTCCTTTTGTAGTTTTTATTCTGTGAATTGCGTGTTGCTATTAGTCATTTTTCTTTTGGTTTGTCTTTTTCTTGGTGGATTTTAGGAAGCTGTATTGTTTCTCACTTGTATTTGAGCTGTGCCCTTTTCCAGACAGAATTGGAGGTGGCTCTTCTTCTAATAGAGAACGCTAGCAAATATTAGTGCCAAGTTGAAGTTGTGTTAAAACTCGATTGTGCTTGTGAAGTGCTTCATGCCTGCAGATATTCAAACAGATAACAGTAATAAGCACAATGCAGGAATCTTCCCAAATGGATGCTCTTTCTCAAAGGCAATTGCTTAATGTTTTGTTTTTTTGTTTTTGTTTTTCTCCTATAAGGAATGACGCTTTACCATGATCTTCTTGGTATAAAATGTATTTGCAAAGCTGCATATACATTTTCATTTACCATAATGAAGGCAAAAATCATGTAGTTAATATGTATAAACTCACCCACTTAGAGTCTTTTTCTTCCTTTCCCCCAGTATTCCCAGAGAAACCTCACCTTATTTGGCTAATCTCCTTTTGGGTTTGCTTCAGAGAAACCAGAAAGACAGAATGGACTTTGGTAAGTAGTATTTTCAAATTTTGTATGCTCTCTAATTTTATTTTTGTGTATCCCCAAAAAATTATTTTTGAATGATTAACTATAGAGTTTTCAGGAGAAAATTAAAGTCAATTTCTTTCTCTCTCTTTGTCTTTTTTCTTCCCTTATTTTGTAAATATTTATTGACTGCTCACTATGTTCTAGGTCCAGAGGATAGAGTAATAAATAATAAAGAAAATCCCTGTCCTCATGTATTCTCGTGGGGGAGAGGCAAACAAAGGATAAATGATAATCACGCACCATATAGAAGGTGATAAGTGCTGTGGGAAAGAAGAGGGAAGGGAAATGCAGGTGGGGGAGGGATTGGAAGTTTAAGTTCTGTGAAGCCCTTTCTGAGGAAGTGGCCTTTGAATAAATACTTGATTGAAGGACAGCAGGATAGTGAGACAGTGGGCGATGTGCATGTCTGTGGGAAGGGCTTTCCAGGCAGAGTGAACAGCCAGTACAAATGCTCAGGGCTGGGAGTGTGCCATGTAAGCTGGAGGAACAGTTAGAAGGCCAGTTAAAGACGTGGGCTTTTGCTCGAAGTGTGACGGGGAGAATGTGAGCAGAGGAAGGATAGGATCTGACCGATCTTTAGAAAGGATCATTCTGGTTGCTTGTTGCCAACAGACTGTGGAGAGGGGCGGTGAGGTAGCCAGAGCACAGAGGCTGGGGGACCAATCTGGCGACTACAGCAGTTATGCCAGTGAGAGATGAAGGGGCTTAGGCCGGAATAAAAGCCACAGAAGTGGTAGGGAGTCCCTCGAATTCTGGATCTTTTTGGAGGTAGAGGCAGCAGTATTTACAGATGAATTGGATGTGGGGTGTGTGAGAGAGAGAAGATTCAAAGATGCCTCCAGGGTGTCTGGCCTGGGCACGTGAAGGAATAGAGTTGTTGGTTATGGACGTGGGTGAGGCTGTGTGGCTCGAGCAGGCTATGGGGCAAATCAGGTTCAGCTTGGACCTGTCAAATTGAAGACATGCGTTCAGCTTAGGGGTGCGGATACCCAAAGGGCACCTGGAGTTCAGAGGAGAGGTCTGGGCTGGGGATGTATTTGGGAGAAGATCTGGGAGGAAGGAAAGGAGGAGAAACACTCCAGAATCCTGGTGGAAAAGTCCCTGGCCTCGAAGATGGGGTTTCGGGAGACAGGGAGGGGAGCTCCGTGGCAGTTTGGTTTTCACGGCTTTAGGGCTTTAGGAGAGCAGGCTCTGGGTGCTCCACGAGGCCGTGATTTTAGATTTTTACATTCAAAAGGTGAATCACTGATTTTGAGCCTTTCTTCTTTTTATAATATAATCATTTAAAGCTAAAAATGTCTAAGTATTTTAACACAGTCTATTTTCAAACAATATTTTACCACTTGTTGCATAATGAAAGAATTTGGAATGCTTAATACTGTAGGGATTATCCAGTTCCTGAAGGTTTTGAAAGAACCTTTTTCCCTGAAATTGTTTGGGTCTCAGCTCCTCTTTGGGGGACAGTTTGTTAACTTGTTCTTATCAATCTCATGTAAAAGATTGTCCTTCTCGATCTTATTCATACCAGTCATATGTAAAAACAGCACTACTTATATTTAAATGTCAGACCAGAAAAGCCATAAGACATGTTCAATGAAAATGCTTATTAACCTTGATCTTGACATTTTTAGAAAAAAAAAAAGTGTTTGATGTTTCCTGTAGTAATTCGTTGTAATAGTAATAGAGATTTGCAAAAACTTAGTCGAGAGTTTTGGTCTGTTCGTGTGTGTTATGGAAGTCCACATAGGCCTCTGGATAAGACAGACCAGGGTTTGAATTCTAGTCCCTCAACTTGCTAGCTCTTTGACACTGGAGAAGATACATGGCCTTTATGTGCTTTATCCTTGTCCATGAAAGGAAGATAATGCTGTGCGTTAAGTTTGTGAGGATTAAATAAACTGTTATGTGAAGCACTCAGCCTATTGTCCTAGCAAATGTCCTTAGTAGACAATAGGTCTAGAAGTTTCCATATAAGGGACAAGGTGAAATAGTCTGAATATGTATTTTCTTAAAGTTTTGTGAAGTTGGAACTAAATTTCAGCACATGTACTTGGTAAATATTTTTATCTTTCAGAGGGAGAAATTAAATTGAGAGTTGCCCTGTAACCATGAGAAATAGGGGTCAATACTGAAACAATGTATTCATCGATAATAGTTTTAAAATGATAGATCATATCAAGTATTTGTATATTTTCCATACGATAGCAGTTGATGGAGGATGTGGTTTCAGAGCATTTGCATTCAGTTCTTTTTATATCTTTTTTGTTTTGTCCCTATTATGTCCATTGCAAAAATTAGCATAAAAAATCTTACATGTCAAACTAGCATTTATGTGTACGTATATTAATTTTTGTTCTAAAAATGATCTTGGATAGAAAACTCATGTTTTTCTTCAAAATCCTTCACATTTCTATTCCTTAGCAAATCTTGTAACTGATATTTACCCTTAGTGGCTTTTGGCGCTTTATTTCAGTGAGACTCATGGGACCGTTCCGAGCAGAAGCTACTTTAGACTGGCCCTGAGTTAAGCTTTTCCTGATCTCGTATCACCTCATTTAAACCCCCATCGCTGGTGTGGTGCTGCCCTCCTTGCCTGCTCTGGGAGATTTACTAGCATACGGCTCTGGGACTTCATGACACAGGAAATTATCTTTGTGGGTTTTTAAAGAAATAATGAAACGGGGAGGTAAAGATAGTAAAGTACACAGGAAGGTAAAGAAAGTAATGAATGGCCATGTCCTCGCCGACTTACTTATCTTTATCTTATTAGCAGCCTTACTGTGTAGGTTTTATCCTCGGTGGACAGCCAAAGAAATTAAATCAGACTTAACAGATTTAAAAAAAAAAATGTGAAACCAGCTGCAGGAATATCTCTTCTGGGATAGAAGGATGGGATTTATTGTATAAATCAGCCCCCTGGATTGCCTCATAGGACAGTTATCCACAGCTGGGCTTCCCCTACACACTTAGCAGGGGTGGCACGGGTCCCAGAACACGTCTGCCTCGGTTGCTCGGGGCCTGTCGCCTTGGTAACGTGTGTTTGCAAAATTCACAATTATCATTTTAAATTATAATCTGATCATTTTGTAGATGACTTATAAAAATCATAGGCTTTTACAGTGGAAGGAGATGGAGGCTACATAAAGAAGTTAATAATAATTATGATCTCAAAGACACTGTTAAATACATCGACAAGATTAACCTGTCTGCTAGTCAACCTCAGTTTAAGGGTTGCATTCTCCTTTTTTCATTACAGAAGCGTTTTTTAGCCATCCTTTTCTAGAGCAAGTTCCAGTGAAAAAATGTGAGTACCCATTTCTTTGCATTTTTACTTGAAGAGTGAAGGCAGACTTAAGGGAAAATTAGCATTTTGTGTCACAAAATTAATTTTTGATTGTGCTTCTCAAGATTTCGTTGAGCTTTTCTTCAATACCTGTAGCTTTATTTATTGAATTACACAGTCATTTTTTTCCAAATCCCAGTTGAAATAGTTGTAGTAATTGCTGCAGTTGTAGTTTTACCCCTGGGAGCTGTAATAAGTAGGTGAATGAATTTTTGGTCAACACAAAGTTGTCGTAGTTTCGACAGGTTTTCTGTTAGACGAGCCGTGTAATTGCTCGGCAGAGTGGCGTCTCTCTTCAACTGTGTTTCTTCCCCCAGCCTGCCCAGTTCCGGTGCCCGTGTACGCTGGCTCTGTCTCGGGAAGCTCCTGTGGTAGCTCTCCATCTTGTCGTTTTGCCTCTCCACCAGTAAGTTTTGGTTTTACTAAACATAGTTTCAGACTTAGTGCTATTGCCTCTGTTCGTAAGGGAGCCTGCCAGTGCATTGTGGATATCCTTTTGATGTGCAGTTACGAGTGCTGCTGCGGTTTGGGCAGAGAGCACGATTGTTGAGTCAGATGGACCTAGATTCGGACCTCTGCCCTTACGTAGCTAAGTATGCTTTAGCAAGAAATGGCACCCCTCTGGGCCCTTTTCCTCTAAACAGGGAGTACAGTACTCTCACCTTTTCATGCCCTAGGGGTTGGGAAGGATGATATTTGCAAAGAGTACCCATCACAAGTAGATAGGTTATAACTATTTTCTCTGTCATCACATCAGTTTGGATATTTATTGTACGGAGACTTTCCAGTGGTGGTGAGTGACCTCTGAGCCACATTCTTCTGACTTCAGTTCCCATAATGATGGTTACCAGCCCTTCAAGAGTTGCTCCACACCAGCCTCTTCCCTCCCCTGGGCTTCCCAGGCCGTTTTCTCCATGGCTTTCTCCCCTCCAACCTAAGTGCTTCTTCTAGATCCTGAGAATTTCTGCTCCACTCTCCCAGGGTTTTACTCTGCCCTTTTCTGACCCTTTCCCCAAATCTCTGTTGCAGTGTGGGTTGTGACCTTGAGGCTTTTCCATCAGCTGAAGGTCCAAGGGCTCTTGTGTCAGCTATTGTGAATATTTTCCAGATTAGCCTGGCAGACATGAATTTCTTGAATTCTGCTGGCAGAGGGTGGGGCAGTGATAAAAGGAGGTGATTGTATAATTAGCTGGTTCCCCTCAGAGGTTAAAGAGCATGGGGCTTGGGAGCTTCTGCATTCCTTACTTTCCACATTAACCCGAACAAACGACTTAATCTCTTTGAGCCTGTTTCTCATATGGAAAGCGAGTGTAACTGACCTATTTCATAGGGTTTTTTAAGGATAAATGAGCAAAAGCACTTCACTACAGTGTCTGGTACATAGTACTCAGTAAGTGGCAACTGCTGTTATTATTAATTTCAACGAAAACCTAACAGCCCATAGCTAAAGCAGATGCTGAAGCAGCCGATCGCAAACAGACGAGTCCTAAAACTGGCAAAAACCCTTTTTGCCTAACCCTGCAGACTTAAACCAAGTTAGAAAAAGCAGATGGGCTAATAAGACATTATAGTCCCATGAATTAAGAAAAAAAATAAGAGGGGAAAAAAAAAGTGTTGTGGATTTCCTGCTTCAGTCTGGAATATAAGAAAACCCTGGATTTGAGTGACTGGGGAGAAATGCAGAGGAAGTGTACCAACATGGAAAGACACTTGGCTTTATTTGGAGCCAGGCACAACTGACTTCAGTGCTGGCCAGGCTGCTTGCTCACCCTTAACTTGGAGCAGGTCAGTTCCAGAGCTGAGCCGTGGCTCCTTCATCTGTAAGGCAGGCTTCGTGAAGCTGTGCTTCGACAGCAGCCGGAGTGGGTACTTGATAAACTGGAGCTATTATTATGAGGTCTATATTTGATACTGTGAGACATGATATGAAAAGCAAAGTTTATGCTTGAGAAAGGAACCACAGGGAAGAATCTAGTTATGAGAGAGATGTGGGAGAGAGCAAGAAGAAAGGAGCCTGTTTGTAGAATGACCAAGGAACGAGAAAGAGAGTGTCCGGTAGGAGGGACATTGAATTGGAAATTGCTTTATCTGGAGAGAGCGAGTTGGGGTTTTCTGTTGGGTGGGGTAGCATTGAAAGGGAGAGCACACAGAGCTAGGCTCAGGCTGCTGGGGAAGAGATGGAGAGCTAACAGGAGTGGGGACATGCCAGAGGGGTAGAAGAGACATATTTAGATGCTAAAAACTTTGGTGGGCAAACCGTTTTTAGAAGGCTTTTATTAAAAGCTAATGCTTGGGGCGCCTGGGTGGCTCAGTCCGTTAAGCGTCGGAACTCTTGATCTCAACTCAGGTCTTGGTCTCAGGGTCGTGAGTTCAAGCTCTGCATTGGGCTCCATGCTGGGTGTGGAGCTGACTTAAAAAAAAAAAAAAAAGCTAATGCTTGAAGTGAAAATAAAAAGTGAAAAAAGAAAGCTGGGGAATAAAAGGAAATCCAGTATGTTTCCAATTTCCAGATGGTGAGATATGGGACGGTTTAATAGGCCTTGCTTTTAATGTAACCTGCCAAAAATAAGATAATTTTATGTATGCATCCCCTTCCTTCCTATGGCTGGAGTAGACTTTCAGATGGAGGGTTGATACACACAGTCATGCACATACAACATTCTCTTTTTTTTTACATTCTCACGCAAATATCCAGCTGCTACTTGATTCCAGAGAAATCTTTGAAAGGAAAAAATCCCAATCAGTCTTTGAGTTATGATATTGGCTATAGGGTAAATGCTATTCAGATAATATTTCTTGAACATTTCTTGGTTTCATAACATTTATTAGACACCTAGTTTCTATAAGGTTCTGTTTAATACTAATGAATGAAATGACCAGATCTCTTACATTAAGGAGTTTTTCATTTAGTTTTGTGGAGGAGAGGTAGGTAAAGCAATCACTGTTGGTGTGTGTCTCTTTATTGCCTGTGGGAACATGAATGGGGAGCATGAAATCAGACCAAGAACTCAGGAAGGCTGCTCAGGGGAGGACATTGAGCAGAGTTTTAAAGAAAGACCTAGCAAGGTGAATTAGTAAAAGAATGGCATTGTAGGCAGAGATATCCCCATTCATGAAGTCATGGAAGCATGACCCACTGAAAGTATTCTCTAACCCCCCGGGCCCACTTAAATTTGTTAGAATTAAGTGAAATTTAAAAGTTTGTTCCTTAGTCACATTAGCCCCATTTCAAGTGTTCAGTAGCTGTCTATGGCTAGTAGATCCATGTCTCCATCATTGTTGGAAGTTCTGTGGACAAGGCTTCTCTGAGCAGTCCAGGCTGGGTGGATGCAGAGAGCATTGGTGGTGTGGGGAGGGGTAGGTAAAGCTAGAGAGGCAGGGAACTGCTATATCCTGATGGGATTTGGCTGTGGTGAGCCATCTGAATGCTTTTAGGTGGAGGTGTGCTATGACCCGCTGTGTGTCTTAGCTCGATTCTTCAAAAAGCAGGGTGGAAGGCTGGATTTGAGACTAGTAGAGAGTAGGGTGGTCTCTCTATCAGAGAAAAGAGAACACTGCAGACTATTGCACCTTTCTTGTTTTGTTTTTGTTTTTCTCAGAATGAGGGCCTGAGTTCATTCATTTTGTTTTCTGAGGATGAGGGCATGCGGGAAGGTGGGGGCCAGGTGAGAGCAGGGTAGAGTTTGCCGAGCCTGGAAGTGCTTGAACTGGGGATTGAATGGACGGATGTTGGTGAAGCCGCTTAGTCAGGGAGTGTGGGGAGGAGTGCTTTGGAGTGGGAAGGTGGTGAGCTAGTCCACGCTCACCGGAGAGACCTAGGCTGTAGAGGTGTGGTGGTACCCGGAGGGTGAGAGTGGTCGCCAGGGCAAGTATAAAAATGTGAGGAGCAGAGGGCCCGGGGTGGCACCTTGGGGAACTCCACACTCTTATCCCTCTCCTTTAAGGGACAAACGAGAAGCAGTTACCCACAAAACAGACTAAGAAGCAGGCTCACTGAACGAAGGGGTAGAGTTTCAAGAGTGGTCCGCAGTGCAGATGGGGAAACAGAGCTCGGGTAACTTAAGGAATAGAGCACGTGTCCACACGACTTGGCAGTGGGAGTGAATGGTAAGCCTGATAAAGACCATCTTATTGGACAGTTGAAGGCAGAAAATGATGATGGTGGGTTGAGCAATACATAGGAGGTGAGGAGTTTGAGTCAGTGAAGATTGATGATTTCGAGAGACATTGTTAAAAAGTAAAGAAGTGAGAGAAGATGGTTAATTAAGAGGACTGCAGGGATTTGCGGTGTGAGAAAATGGAATGTATTTATTTGCGGAGGGGAAGAAAGCCAGAGGAAAGGGAGAGGGTGAGAGCCTCAGGAGCAGGGGGCAGCTGGTCCAGGTCTCTGAGGAGGTGGAGGGGAATAGACTTAGAGCACGGGTAGGGAGACTAGTGGGAAGATCTCTTCCGCTCAGATGCTGTGGGTGCAGACAAGTTTACTTGAGAAAGTGCCTGCCTAAACCACTGGGAAGAAATTGTGGAGTTAGATGCTTGGAATCACATCTCAGCTTGACTGCTTTTTGGCTGTGTGATCTCAGGCAAATTTCCCAAACTTCGGAGCTTTGTTTATTTATATATATGTGAAATGGGTTTCAGAACAGGACTGGTTAGGGAAGACATGGAAAGTTCTCAACAGTGTCTAGCCCATGGTAGACGGTCAGTCCTGTTAGTCTTTCCATTGTCCCTTCGCTTTATTACCTTGACCCATAAGGTCTCTTTAAAAAAGTGATGAGGGGATTGTATGTCATTTGTGTGTGTCTCACACACACACACACACACACACACACACAATAGGAGATGGGAGACAGATTTCATTGCACAGTGACATTCAAAGGAGCGCTAACTGTGAATTGGGTGTTTAAGATTGGGGGTTTAAGTTTAAAGGGCATTGTGCAGTATTTTTCCTTTTCTTAAATAGAAACAGAGGTTAAACAGGGTCATAGGGGACTTAACACAATAAGCTAGGAAGTTCATTGTTTCAGAAAACCATTGTGTAATCAAGACATTTAATTAGAGGTGTCACTTGAGTCCTTGAACTAGGCAAATGCCAAAGGACATGTAACTGCTTACATCTGAGTATTTGCTTACATACATTTTGCAATGCTTTCCTTTCCTTCCTGTCCTATCGCCTGCAAACCCACTCCTCCCCCCTAACAAAAGAGGAACAAAAGGAACATACCCACAACCTGTAAGGTTTTCCAGATCTTTCTTTCTGTGAGTGTACATAAATCTCTATACTTGAATGCAGTTATCCTTATTGATTTATTTACTTTTTTACAGAACATGGTCTCTTGCTTTCCTGTTTATAATGTTTTCTTCATTGGAAGTTTAAAACTTTTTAAAATGTGTGCAGGATGTCATTAGTCTAAAGTCCCTGGACATTGTGTTTTGGTCATCAAGTGAAGAGTTATTGAGCACCTGCTTTGCTAGGCCAGGAGCCAAATCTGGGACTGTTGAGATGATAAAAACACCCCCTCAGAAATTTTAGGAGAGGCAGACGTGTACATGATAAATGGTATGATATATTTTTAAGTATCATTTTTGGAAAACATTTTAGAAGTCTTTATACAAAGACACTTTAAACTGTGCTTTTCTAAGGGAAAGATTTTCCAAAGAGATTTTTTTTTTTTTTGGAATTTTAAGATGGAATTGAACTTTATGCCCACTTGTATGAAGACAATATTCCTTAGTCGAATGGCTATTCTGACGTGCATTTTATTATTAGGCCAGTTTTAATTTTATGTTGTTAATTTTAGTCCCTTCCAGATATGCAGCATATTCAGGAAGAAAACTTATCCTCCCCACCATTGGGTCCTCCCAACTATCTACAAGTGTCCAAAGATTCTGCCAGTACTAGTAGCAAGAACTCTTCTTGTGACACGGATGACTTTGTTTTCGTTCCACACAACAGCTCGTCAGACCACTCATGTGAGAATCTTTTCTACTTGTACACATTATATTTCTTAATTTACTAGCCTAGCATTTCTTTTTAACTTTTATGTCATGCTCTCTCGTGTAGGCCACCTTTTCAAAGGGGGCGCTTTATTTAGTTGTTTGAATTCCCAGAACTACCTACCTACGTTTTAGCTCTGCTCAGTCACCTTCCATAAAGCAGTAACTTTGGATTCTGAAGGTAGACGAAAAGTTTGCAGGAAACGATCTCCAATTCTGTTTGTATCCACACAGAAAGAAATAGAAAAGTCAGCAGAATGAGAGAAATTAAATTTAAGGAAAGGCATGAAGGGAAGACCTCTTTTGCAAAAACAACCTAAGAGTCAAGGGAGTTTAAAACCAGTCTGGAGGCCCTTCAGAAGAGACTGGCATGAGGTCAGGAATGAGTTTCATAAATATATGGGAAGAATTTTTATAAAGGAAGCAGAATCCAACTTGACTAAATATGGTCAGGGCTCTAAGGAGTGGGGAAGGGCACCAGAAAACCTACAAAAAAAGAAGTTAGACAAAACCATGGAGGAAGAAGGAACTGCGGTTTGGTTGTGAAGGAACAGGATCAGAAAAACCAGAAATTGGGTTCCTTCAATAATTGAATAGTAGCAAGTTGACCATGTGCAGGTGCAGATGGTTGGATAAGTTCGTCTCAAGAGGTCTGTGGACTTGTTTGTCAGATTCTACAGCTGCTACTGTTAGGCATCGTGCTCGTTGTTGTCAAGGCCGTCATCCCCAGAGCAAGCAAGCCTCAGGGTGTATCAGCTGGGGCAGGGGGAGCACGGACAGAGCTGCAGGGGCAGGTGGGGTGGTTCACCATCGGTGCTCCAACAACTGGGGGTTACCTTTAAAAATCCAGAATACAGTGGTTTTCTTCTATTTTAAAAAAGGAATTAAAATGAAAAATTATGCAGTATTTCAAGCAGGAAATAATACAGCAGATACTCAAGTCCACCACCGTTCTAATTTTATTTATGTCAAAGTTTGGCCATGTTGTTTCAGATGTCTTTTAAAGATGTAAAATGCTACACAGGTACAGCTAAAGTCCTTTTCCTCGTTCTACTCTTGCCAGAGGTAAACTCTTACTGTAGATTTTTTTAGTACTTTCACAGATGCCTGTATCTATAAATAACATAACAGTATTCTTGTGTTTTTACAGTTTTAAGTAAATGGTATAAGGAATATTTTTATAGCTTGGTTTTTTATTCATGTTTTTGCTATGTATCTAGCTACAGATCTAGATATGTATGTAGTTTATTTTAATATCTGAATTTTATAGTACATTAAACCACAAGTTTATCCATTTCTCTGCTGAGGGTTACCTGGATAATTTCTATCTTTTCACTATTCAGAATGTATTGTAACAGATGTCCTGTGTCAGAGTTCCTTCCACATGGATACTCTAGAAATGTTCAACTTCAAATCTTATGGGGGCGCCTGGGTGGCTCAGTCATTAAGCGTCTGCCTTCAGCTCAGGTCATGATGCCGGGGTCCTGGGGTCGAGCCCCACATCGGGCTCCCTGCTCGGCGGGAGGCCTGCTTCTCCCTCTCCCACTCCCCCTGCTTGTGTTCCCTCTCTCACTAACTCTCTCTCTCTGTCAAATAAATAAATAAATAAAAAATCTTAAAAAAAAAAATCTTATGAAATATTGGTACAGACAAGTTGTAGGCAATTAATAGTCTCTGCCGTGCTGCCCCAGTGGAATAATGGTAACTTCTAAATACTTTTTTTTTCATCTTCAACTTGACCTGGAGTTCACTTTTGTAGATGGAATAATGTAGGGATCTTATTATTGAATATTCTGTCCTTTCTCTACTGATAGGCCGTTCTAGATTTGTCATATCACGTTTACATAAAGAATTGGGTTTGTTTTAAGGTTTTCTATTTACTCCATTGGTCTATTTGTATTATAATCATTTTTAAACACATTGGGGTGTGTGTGTGTGTGTGTGTGTGAGAGAGAGAGAGAAGGAGAGAGAGAGAGAGAGAGATTGTGGGGAGGGGTGATGGTAGAGAGCATTCTAGTATTCTTTGGAATCACCCTGGCTACTCTTGACCCCTTTTGCCCACGTGTAGTCTAATTGCAGCTTGACAAATCTTACAAAAAACCATTTGGGGATTTTGATGGGAATTGTGTTGATTTTAAAAAAGACCTATACAGGGACAGTTAATGATCTTTACAATATTAAATTGTCAAATCAAGAACATGTGTTTCTCACAAAATAGAATCATAGGGGAAGGGAAGGAAAAATGAAATCAGATAAAAACGAGAGGGAGCAAAACCCTAAGAGACTCTTAACTCTAGGGAACAAACTGAGGGTTGCTGGAGGGGAGGTGGGTGGGGGGATAGGGTAACTGGGTGACGGGCATTAAGGAGGGCACTTGATAGAATGAGCACTGAGTGTTGTATGCAACTGATAAACCACTAAATTCTACTCCTGAAACTAGTAATACTATACCTTAACTAACTTGAATTTAAATAAAAGCTTAAAAAAAAAAAAGTATGTGCTTCTCCACTTACTTAGGTTTCCTTAATGTGTTTTGATAGATATTTATATTTTCCTACATAAAGGACATTCACATCTTTTGTCTTACTCTAGTTACCTTTATTTTTTGTCCTTGTGTAAATATTGTATTTGAAATTTTTTTTTTCAAAAATGCTCCTGTCGAGGTCTTTGTGCTTCCAAATCTCACGTCTTTTCTCAGTCTTCATCTTTTTGATGTGTTTACAGCATTTGTTATAGTTGGCCACACCCTTCTTTTTATTTTTATTTTTTTTAAGATTTTATTTGTTTATTTGTCAGAGAGAAAGTGAGAGCACAAGCAGGGGGAGAGGGAGGCAGAGGGAGAAGCAGGCTCCTTGCCGAGCAAGGAGCCCGATGTGGGACTCGATCCCAGGACCCTGGGATCATGACCTGAGCCGAAGGCAGGCGTCCCCACACCCTTCTCTTTAGTTTAAAAATTTGTTATTGTAAAATATATCATGCATATGTTTTTCAAAGACTTTTATTTGTTTAGAAAGAGTAAGAGCAAGCGGGGGGAGGGGCAGAGGGAGAGGGAGAGAGGGAATCCCAAGCAGACTCTGCACTGAGCCCAATGCAGGGCTCAATCTCACAACCCTGAGATGATGATCTGAGCTGAAATCAAGAGTTGGCCACTCAACCGACTGAGCCACCCAGGTGCCCCAAAGATTTTATTTTTTTTAGAGCAGTTTTAGGTTTACAACAAAACTGAGAGGAGGGTACAAGTTTCCCACATACCCCCTGCCCCTCCCCATTCTCAGCATCACTCACCAGATGTTAAAAGGATAATACCAGAGGATAAACCTACATTGACACATCACAATCACCCAAGGTCCATAGTCTACTTAGAATTCATTCTTGTTGTTGTACATTCTGTGGGTTTGGAGAAAGGTATAATGACATTTATCCATCATTATAATATATAGAGCATTTTCACTGCCCTAAAAATCCTCTGAGCTCCCCACCCGTCCCTTGGAAACCACTGATCTTTTTATTATCTCTATAGTTCTGTACCACAGTTTGTCCATTTACCTATTGAAGGACACTTTGATTGCTTCCAAGTTTTGACAATTAAGAATAAAGCTACTATAAACATCTGTGTGCAGGTTTTTGTGTGGACATAAGTGTGCAGCTCCTTTGGATAAATACCAAGGAGCATGACTGCTGGCTGGTATGGTAAGGGCATGTTTAGTTTTGTAAGAAAACACTAAACTCTTCCCAAGTGGCTGTACCATTTTGCATTCCCACCAACAGTGAATGGGAGTTCCTGTTGTTCCACATGTTCACCAGCATTTGGTGATGTCAGTGCTCCAGGGAGGGCTGTTCTAGTAGATGTGCAGTGGTGTCTCATTGTTGTTTTAATTTGCGTTTCTCTGATGACATCTGATGTTCAACATCTATTCATAGGCTTATTCACCACCCATTTATCTTCTTTGGTGAGGTGTCTGTTAAGATCTTTGGCCCATTTTTCAGCTGTGTTGTTTGTTATCTTATTGTTGAGCTTTAAGAGTTCTCTGTATACTTGGGATAACAGTCCTTTATCAGATGTGTCTTTTGCAAATGTTCTTTTGCAGATATCTTTGTTCAGTCTGTAGCTTATATTCCATTCTCTTGATACTGTCTTTCACAGAGCAGTTTTTAATTTTAATAATCACTAAAGATTAATGAAATCATTTAAATAAATTTATTTCTTTCATGGATTGTGTTTAGTGTTGGTATCGTGACACCCAAGATCCTCTAGGTTATGTTATCTTCTACAGTATTTGCAGTTTTTTTCTTTTACATTTAGGTCTGTGGCCCATTTTGAGTTAATTTTTTCGAAAGGTCTACAGCTAGATGAATTTTTTTTTTTTTTGTCTGTGGATGTCTAATTATTATAGGATTATTTGTTGAAGACTGTCTTTGCTCCATTGTATTGTCTTTGCTCCTCTGTCAAAGATCAGTTGACTGTATTTTGGGGGTTTTCTTTCTGGTCTCCCTGTTCTGTTCCATTGATCTATTTGTTCTTTTGCCAATACAACACTGTCTTGATTACTGTAGTTTTATAGTAAGTCTTGAAGCTGGGTAGTGTCAGTCCTCTGCCCTTCTGTTTCAGTGTTCTGTTGGCTATTGTGGGTCCTTTGCCTCTCCATTTAACCATTAGAATTAGTTCGTCAATATCCATAAAATAAATTGCTGGGATTTTCACTGGGATTGTAGTGAATCTATAGATCAAGTTGGGAAGAACTGACATGTTTACAATATTTAGTCTTCCTATCCAAAAACATAGAATATCTCTCCATTTATGTAGTTCTTCTTTGATTTCATTCATCAGAGTTTTGTAGTTTTCCTCATACAGACCTTGTATGACTTTTGTTAGATTTATACCTAAATATTTCATTTTGGGGGGTGCTGATATAAATGGTGTTGTGTTTTTAATTTCAAATTTTAGTTGTTTATTATTGAGATATAGGAGAGCAGTT